TGCTAATTTCTTATGCTCAAGAGGGCATTGTCGGTTCTGTTGAACATGCTTTTTCAACATGACTTGCGATGCAAAATAGATGTTCAAGATTTTGCAAATCCGTTCAAGCAGCGATGTTATTATTGTTACTCACTTTACATTCACCTAATTCTCAAAATATCGTATTCCTACTCCATCAATATCATTTATCTAGACTGCACATGACACTTGAACCTTGTCCTTGTTCCGCAACACAATCTACACGTGAAGAGAGGGCAACTTTTGACTTCTGCAGCCATCTGCAGTGCACAGACACACATTAAATAAATCTTATATTGTTAAAAGCCTAAAAATTATATGACTATTTACCCTCGTTTACACTTATAAATTTTTAAAATAATGTAATTACCAGTCAATTTTAAAGGTTAAAATTTTAATAGAGAAAACATGAATGTTGACCTCAACTAATCTAAACCCCCCCTCCCTCCCCCTTGTCAAGAACTGTCAAACTTTCTCTCCCCCCTCCCACTATTTTGTTGACGTAATTAATGGACGCCCCCAGGATGAATTTTATAAATTTTTTTTTCTTCCTCTTGATGTGAGTTTGAGTAGGTGTTTAAATGCCTCAAAAAATGATCAGAAAGGCAAAGCTAAATAGGGTGATTAGTGTATTTATGAAAAATGAGAAAATTTATATTTTATTAGTACAATTTAAATAACAATAATTTCATTGCAAGTCAGGTCTGTGGATTTGAAAATGAGTTAATCAAATATACCTGAGTATAAACCTTAGTAATTGATTAACTAGATATGCTTTTTTTTAAAAAAAAAACTTTCTTGATTTTTAACGTGTGTATCATTCATATACTAAAAAAAAATTTAACTCTATTATTTGCAAAGTGTGTGGGGCAAGGTGCGGAGCTATGACATATCTTATTAATTTAAAGTCCACCAAAGTTTATCTCACATTATATTTTGAACCGCTAATATGAAAATTAAACAAGTCTTGATGTTTTGCAATGAACATATAAATTTACCTCAACGCAAGTCTTAATATAGAAAAAAAATGTATGAAATATATTCCAAATATACTTATTAGAAATAAGGAAAAACTTAAAAAATTTGTATTTTTTTTTATTTTTACAACAATAATAAAAATACATAATAAAACAGAACCAGGAGGAAAAATTGATAAATAAAAATTTAATGGTCACTCGTAAATAGTGTAAATAATTTTCTTTAACATTCGTTAGAAGATTATCATTAAATTAAAGATGGAAAAAATTTTCATAATTGTACTTTCATTTACCAAGGCTTTTAATATCTTCTGAAGCTTGATCAGAACATTGAATGGGCGGAGAGTTTAAAGAGAATGGCACAAGAAAGCAAAGATTTGTCAAGCTTCATAATAAAAGTAAACAAAGTATGGTTGCCTAAGGTTACCCTTAACTCTGAGATCTCTAGCCTAAGGAAAAGGTAATAAGTATGTGAAACTGTGATTCATGGCTGTACTGTAACTGTAATGCAAGTGAAATTGTGTAATATTATGATCATGCCACAAGTAGCAACAGGGTTGGCCCCATTTTCAGCAAGATATTTTTGATGTAAGACTTTTTGTTGCATCCCAAGACTGAAATAAAATAGCTTTGAAAAGCAATCATTTTGTTATAAGTAAAGGGAAAATATTTTATTGCTAACTTCGTCATTTTTATTTACATATCAATTCACATGATCTTGTTTGCAATACACTATTGCACAGAAAACATACTATCAATTTAACGAAATTCATATATTATAAATTTCATTGTATGAAACATGATTAATGCAGTACATGAATTAAAAAATAATGTGAATTTTATATGTAATTATCTGTTGTGCTTTGGGAAAATCCTATTTTAACTGTTTTTATTGCACTGTCTACCAGTTGTCCCATACAGCAGTGTCATAACGTGATGTTGTTGTATAATTTTTCATGGCCTTTATTTTGTTGTAGATATGTTAGCGAGCCAGTGTACTTTTCTCTGGCTTTATATCAACCACGACTGAGTTATGATTGATGGGACTTGAACACATGAATATAAAGGGTGTTGACATTTTTGTTGTGAATGTCAGATTAGATTGTTCTTGACGATTTATGATTCTAATTCCTGGAAAGCCAGGCCATAAATAAACGTAAATCAACTTTTAAACGCTTTAAAAAAATTTCTACGCAACAGCCTTAAAATTAAAGAGGCAAGAAAGTTGTGTTTTCTGTCACTTGTGTATAGGAGACCCAATGCTAGGCAACTTTACTCATCCACAAGCAGGTCCTTAGGAACGTGCCCTGCAGCCATTTTCTTAACATGGCCCATGGGTGCACATTTTGGAAGTTTTAGAACCTCAGTGTTAGGCATTTTATACTGCCATCAAATGCGGAGAATGGGTCACAGACATTTTAGGGCAGGGGTTCTTAAACTTTGAGCAGCACCACACCCTTTCTTTCAAAACATATTTTCTGCAGCCCTATGATATAAAATGCTTATAAAAAATGCATTTTATAAACCTTATTTTCTAGGCCTTCCTGCACCTGTTACAGCTGCTTTCTGCAGCCCAGGTTAAGAAACCCTATTAGGTACAAGCTATTGAGTTTCTGCTTGTGCCTAGGATAAGTGGTCCACAGTTCACTGTCCTAGAAAAGTGTGCTGAGCATGCATGCCTTGTAGATAGTAGATGCTCAGTTTTATTCTTTTGTGAGGTTCGAGTTGTTCCACACTTGCTTGTTTAATGTTCAAAATTTCATCAATGGATAAGGAACTAGAGATATTAAACCCATGGTGTGTGACATCAACTGCTGTCGAAATGTTTTGGGGTTTTGAGCAGTGGAAAGTATCCTGCTTAAATGACATAAGTCATCTAGTTATGTATTTATCCTCAGACATGCAATCGACTGGATTCCAGAAAAAAATCTTCTCTTGCTGATGGTGAAGCACAGCAACAATGTAGTGTGTAGTATAAAAGTCCCCCCTTCATATCCAAACTCTGATAAAATAATACTGGAAAGTATAACAGGACATCCCTCTGGGTGGACTTCCAGTAACATAAGTGTAAGTAAATGCTGGTAGATATTTTTTTAAAAAATTTGTTCAAGTACTTTCTTGTATTTATTTAAGTTTTTCTTATTTGAGACTTTAATTTTGTTTAGGGTACCGGTATTCATTGCAATGAACAAATAGCTGGGTGGAATGAGCTTGTTATAACAGCAGAGTAGTATTAGTAACTGTTTTTGGAAAGCCTTGAGTTTTAAATAAATTCCACTGGATGCTATCCAGGGCAAAATATGTTGGATGCAGTTGCCTTTCATAGCTAAAAACACTGTGCCGGTAGTGAGGAAAATTACTGTTCATCTTAACAGTTCAGTTATGTTACAGCTTCCATCTATAACAAAAAAATATAGTTACATAATTGTCAAAATATTTCTTAATGCTGGTATAACATTTGTTGAAAATAAAAAATGGTAGTTATTACCCTGTAATTAATGTCTTTTATAGCCTCCAACCAAAACTACCCTTAGTGGATGGCTGTCACATCTAGAGAGACTACTAGGCCAGCAATGATTGCTGCAAGTCATCAAACATACTTCACCTTTTAACCAAGGACATAACACTATTATTTAATTGTAATAAAACTAACCAGGTAAAATGTGGACCTGGTAATAAGTTCAGGTTGTTCTGACTCTTTTGTTGTTTTTTTTAAAACAATTTTTGGCATGTGAATTATAAATTTGTTAATACTTTTATGAGATGTTTAGTTAATTAATAGTTACTGATAGACAGATGGTGCAAGAATCAAACTTAATTGATTTGATATTTGATTTTAGTCACCATGAAACTCATTTTAAGCTTTTAAGTTAACAAATGTACTGGTACATGTTATTTTATGATGAGATAAAAAACAATTTATTACATATTAACTTTTGTTTCGGTTATTTGGTATGGGTACAAACGGAAATATTTTATGATGAAAATTAATTGAAATTCTTTCTGATTAAAAGCTTCATGTATGAAAAAAACAAAACATTTAAAGATTTTCTTCCTGTTCATACAAAGGGAACTGCAACTCCATGCATAAATTTCTATATCTTGTCATGCAAACATGTAATTACATAAGATGAGATTTACTCAGAAACAAGAGATATGAATGATCATAAGTTATTTTTATTAAATAAAATGTCAATTATGAAGAAATGATAATTCCATTTAAAAATAGCTATACTTGCTCTCAAAGCTTAAAAATATTATTTGAAAGTGACAGCAATTTTTAGTGCATATTCAAATAATCAATGTTCAAAATTAAGGCAGTTTACTTGTTAAGAACACATATATTACCAACTGACTTTAATTGTTAGTAATCACATATTTATATTATAATTAAATTATTAATAATCACATTTATGCTTCATAACTACAACATATAATTTTTAGAATCTGCAATGTCGACAAAAGAGAAGATAACACAAGCAGCTAGATATATTATTCTGTACACAGATTCTTTCAAATTTATTTTCTGTAAGTTCACTAATAAGGTTCACACTTAGTTTGTTCTCTTAGTATTTTTAAGAACATTAAAAAAAAAGTTAATACTGTCAATAAAAATATAATAGGGTAATTCTAAAGAAATTTTATAATTTCATTTATTCAACTTTTTCAAAATCCGGTATATCTAATATCTTGGCTATCTCTATGCTTGTACAAAATCACACATTCATAATCTGTTCAGCTCTCCCAAAATTCTGAAACTCAACCAGTGTTATTCTTTTTTACTTTGATTCAGAAAATAGACTGAATGAAATATATGAATTCACTTAACCTACCTTTGCAGCACACATAATCAAGCGGCCAAACCTGCCACTTGAGATTCCCCCCCCCCCCCCCCCCCAGTTGAAGAGAGACATATAGATCTAATGATCTAATAATACAGGGCATGGATTAAAACTGGGCTCCAACAATTGTTTAGAGTGTTGTTATTAGAATGTTATTAAGTTTGAGGAATTTGACTTTGAACAGTTCAAAAAAGAAAATTAATAAGCGCAAGGAATAAGTAAATTTGGTTTAAAAAAACTTGAACTAAACTAAATAGGTAAGCTAAGCTTTGATATAGTCTACTTCAAAGAGTCAATATTCAAATTCAGAAGCCAGCAAACCATAACAGCTGGTAGAAATTTATTATGTGGACAAAAAAATATTTAGAAGAATTCCTGGCTTCACTCTTTTTAAACCACGTGTATTTTCATGTAAATATTTGGAATAATTGTTAAATGGTCCTGGTCTTCAATAAATAATAGAAATTAAGATGGAGATGTTCTTGGCAACAACGGTGCTGCTTTGGATTTTGCCATTTCCGCTGCTTTTCGAGCTGTGTCTTTTATTTTACTGCTAACAAGTAATGGATGATCTTTCAAGTGATCTGCTTTAAACAATGAAGTGAGTACATAATCAAATCCTTGGGTTGCCTTGTGGGCATTGCTGTGAAATCTTTTAGCACCAAATGCTTCAAGACCCCTACCCACGCCATAGAATGATGAGGAAACCCAAGCAGTTCGTTCACATGTTGTCCAAGAGGGATTTTCTGAACTGACCCTGTAGACACACTTTTCTTCTATACTCTGGAAAAAAAAAGTTTTTTTATGAGGGTTAAGTTTCTTTTTTATTCCTTGTGCTTCTATAATGAGTGGCCAGATAGGTCACCCTAAGGAGCAGCAAAAGAAGGTAATATTGGTTCCAAAGAACTGCCTAAAGTTATAATGTTATATTTTAAAATACCGGTATGGATAAATTGATTTGTAAATATTTTAAGCACTTCCCTTGAGCAATATTATGGTATCTCTAATAAAAAAAATAAAAAGATTTTAGTGTTCTCTTCATAAAAGTGGTGTAACATAGATGAAACAAGTCAAATGAATTAATTGCTCTGAATTTTAGAAATTATGATCAATAGAAAATAAATAGATTATATAATTTTAATATTAATATTATGGTTTGAAAAAAAAAAGATTAACTACTGAGGCTTTTTTTGTGTTTCTGTTATACTGGTAGGCAACTAAAATATGTACTTTTTTTTTCAGCTTGAACAAAGATGTCAAATTATTTTGAGTAAATGCTACATTAGGGTTTTTAAAACTATCAATAAATAGTATTAGTAAATTCACGTAGGTTGCATTTAAAAAAATATCTATAGTTTTACTCACTCTAATATTTATTATTTAAGATAAGATTTTTATTGATCCAAATAAATGGAAATTTGTTATTTTTTTATTCATCTTATTTATAAAGAAATAACAAAAAATAAGATGAATTAAAATGTAAGAGTAATGTTGGCAAATATCTTAATTGTTGAATACAATTGAAAATAATAATTAACAGATTCTAAATTTGATTAAAGGTCATTGCTGCATTTAATTTAAGTTAACATGTGTTAGTAAAGGGGAGTTTAAGTGACTCCAAAGGGACACCATTTAATTAAAATTGCTTGCTGCATGTGTTTTTTTAAATTACAAAACACTTAATGTTATTAATATGCACTACACATTGTAATATTATGAAAGAATAATATAAAACAAAGTAGGCACCTTTTTGTGTGTTCGGTTTAATCAATAGTAATGATAGTGAATTGCAGCTTACTGTTATAGTCTATAATTATCAAAGGTTGATAAAAAGTTTCAATTCGCTTCTGCAGAATGAGGATAATTTGCCAAGGCACTATTTGGCAATGGATAAAGAAAATGGTACATCCCTAGTTAAAACAGACATGAAAAATAATTGCCTTAATTTGATCAAGTTAAATTAAAAAATATTTCTTACCATAAATTTCTGAAGGCCTATGTTTCGTGTATATGTTGTGACAGTTTTTTCATTTGCATCAACAACTGACTCTTCCACAATGAGTACATTTTTGTCTCTACCAACGATTCTTTCACCCCACTTAGGAATTTTGTTGGTCTTTGTGAGCATGCGTAGCGAAATTATTCTGCTTCCCTCAATGCTTCTTGATAAAACATCTTCTGTCAGTACATGTTTGCTGGGAAAAAAGAAAAAAAAAATCAGTAAAAGTATAAAGAGAAGACATCCTAGGGAAGTGATGTTGAACCTCAACATCTCCAAGTCTAAGTATCTTTTGCATGTCATCACCTTTTGATATCGTACTTCACATTTACACTATTGGAATCAAACAACTTTTTAAAGCGATCTTGAGTAAATCAGACCATGCATTCCAGATACTCGCATCAATTACTAAATTTTAGCAAATATCACTTACCGGTATTTAATTTTTTAAAAATGTATTTGGTTAAATATGGTTGCAATATAATATAATAGTCACAGCAAAATAAAATAATACTGATATCCTTGATCATGTATATATTGGCTACACTTAAATTTATAAACTCTGAAATCTTATTTGTCTTTCTTTTTTTCTAGTCAACATCAAGAAGTTCATACTGGTATATCTTGAGCACTTACCTATTTGGATTTGGGTATCTCTGCCATAAACCAATCGCTACTTGTTCCCATGTGTATTTGAACAAACTGGTTGTTGCAATAAATTTAACCATGGCCCAAATGTAACTGTAAATAAATAAAAATACCAGCAAAAAATACAGATAAAAATGGTAAATTAAAAAAAAAAATCAACTTTCAGAACATAATAAAAGCAGAGTTAGACTGACTGCCATTTTAGCGTTGGGAATTTTCAAGTTAAGAATACAAGTACAAGTTAAAATTTATATTAAAATTAAAAGAGTTAGAGAAGATAGTAAGAGTGAGAGACTGGAGGGCTTGACATGAAATTGTTGATGGCCAGTGGGAGTTAAAAAGGCAAAGATGAAAAACGTATAATAAAAGTAAAGAGTCTCTGAAGTGATGTTCATTATTTCACTTATTAAGCATACCATACTTCACTCATTCATCATTAAAGTATATTAATTTCTTTAGGATAAAAGAGAGTATTTATAACATTGCTTCAAATTTGTGTCAAAAGTCAAAGACAGCTAATCTATAACTTTTTCAATTTTATTTTACTATAATGACTATATGTAGTAGGCTAGGCTATGATACCATGACTATACTATGTTAAAATGAAATGAGAAATAAAAATTTTTTTAGTGGCATAATAATAGACATTAATTATGATTAATAGTAATCCAAACCATTTTATAATTTATCCCCACATGAATGATAAAAAATGTTTGATGATTTAACAATGTTAACTCATAATATAATTATATTTAATATATAATAAAGGGTGCCACTACATCTAAGGTTTCCTGAGTGTATGGCCGATCCATCTCTATCTTCTCTGGAGGATCTCTTGTTCTACCGGTTTCTGCTTTGTCCGCTGTCAAAGTTTCTGGTTGCTGATTCTATCAGGCCAGTGAATCCAGAGAATCCTTCTTAGGCAGTTGTTGATGAAGGACTGGATTCTATTCATATTCACAGCAGTGGCTCTCCATGGCTCTGCACCATATAGTAGAACAGGTTTTACCATGGTGTTGAAGGTTCTGATCTTTAGGTTGTTACTCAAGTGTTTGGAGACCCAAACATTCTTGAGTTGTTGGAAGACTGCCCGTGCCTTCCCAACCCTTATTTGACATCAGCATCCGTCCCACCTTGCTTATCCAGGATGCTACCAAAACAGACAAAGCTCTCCACCTCTTAGAGTGCTTCCTCTTCGAGCCTGATGGGTGCTGTATTGGTGGCATTGATCTTGAGGACCTGGCTCTTCCCTTTGTGTATATTATATTAATATACCGGTACACAAAAAAATTGAGCTAGCACTTAGAATTAATTAAAAAGAATTTTAAAAAATTATTTTTGACTCAAATTGTGATGACATCAGTCTCCCTACTCACTCTTGCTTAGTAGTCTTAGTTACCGGTAACTTGAAATAAGTGTTCAGTTAAACTTTTGATGCTAGTTTTGAGTGTGTCAAACTCAACAAAAGTTTACAAAAAACAGGTCAGTACTACCTGTCAGTTTTGTGTCTTGTTAATTAAGACTAAGTTAATCATAATGATGATAAAGAATAATAATAATAATGTAGTTTAATGAATTGTTAACACAGAATAGGGTAATAAGGGGAGAGACTACAATCAGGTTAGCAAAATAGGAAATGAGTAAAACAAAGTAAGGTCAAACCTGAAAAAAGGAACGCAACAAAACAATGAATGTGTCGGCAGGAAGCCTTCCTCAGCGAACAAACAACAGAGTCTGTCTGTAAATGTTAAGGTTCCATAACCATAGGTCAGGATGCGACTTCAAGGGCATGGTGGGCTTTACAATTGGTCTGATTGTGAGTAACACAAACACGCCCAGCTGGGGCCAGCTGGGTGAATTTGGAACACAAGCTTATCCTGACCTATGGAACCTTGACACCACATGACATGAACGTCATGTCTCTATTCACAGCTTGAGCCTAGCCCCTCACGACCTATCGCAGTGGACTAACTTCTCCTCTTTTCTTTCCCTCCTCCCTATTTAATATCTTACCTTACGTTTAACTACTTATTTTCTGTCACAATTCTTTTGCTGTCTTCTAACTCTAACTCTACGGATACTACCTTTTAGCTAAGTTCTGGTTCTGGTAATGTTTTGTTGCTGCATCCATGTACAGGCATCTTTGCAACGGTTGGGGATATGATTTTGCTATTCTATCAGCTCCTGGCTAATGCCAGGGCAGCCTTGAAGCTTTCGACCGGTGTCGAGTTCACAGAAGCATCGTTCAGGTGGTTCTAATTTTTTAAAAAGTGTATTCTGTTTTTTGTTCGCTGACGAAGGCTTGCTGTCAACATGTTCGTTGTTTTGTATCGTTCCTTTTTTTTTCAGGTTTGACCTTACTTTGTAAAACTTTGTTTTACTCATGTAACACAGAATTAGGCTAAATAGGCAAATTCTTGCCCGTGTTATTACCGTTTCGGTAAATTCAGAGAAAGCAGCCCGAGTCTATTTCCATGGCCGCCATCTCGACCCGCGCTAGTATACATTGATAGGTACATACAATTAAAGAAAACTTTTATAGCTAAATTTTAATCATTGTACAGCTGATCAACTCTTTAGACTAGTTTAGACTCAGGGCACTCAGTTGACTCGGCTCGCGCACCAACTCGGACAGACGCAGTAGACCTGCTAAAAATTCATGAATTACATAACTAAATAATTTAGAACATACTAACCTTTAGGTGGTATATGAATGACTTTTACTTAGTTTCCAATTTCTATAGATATTATATCGGCAATGTCGTTGCTATGAAATAAGAAGCAAAAGAAAAACTACCTAAAATGAGTAAATCATAATGCCGGTTTGATGCATGACCAATTACCGATAAAATAACATACTCTTTACACAAATGAGCTCCTGACGTTTCCGTACATATACCTACCCGACCCCTATGTCAGACAGATTCCGATCGTTGGATCTCAAACCAAAAATTATAATTTACATCAGTGGTTCTTAACCTTTTTGGAGGTACCAAACCCTACCAGTTTCATATGGGCATTCACCGAACCCTTCTTAATAGGAAAAATAAAATATAATTTTTTTTTTCTGATTTTTTTTGCACCTCCGCCGAAACTCTGAGACTGACTCACCAAACCCCCTGGGGTTTGATCGAACCCAGGTTAAGAACCACTGATTTAGATGCTAGGCTTTCACCACTGAGGCTGAGGCAGCCTTTACCTATAAATTTCCACGAATCAAAATGCAGAACTATGGGCATGGGAAACATAGGTTGAAAGTTATGATGATGAGATTAAAATAAAATTAATCTTAAAAAACTTAATTAAAATAATTATTAGTGAATGAATGAATGATGTCATTATTAGTCGTTAGCTGATTCAACATGCGGCCTATTCGCCCGGCCATTTTTGAGGCACTACTGTTTACACTTTTTGTTATAGTTTCTCTCATCAATCGTTTTTATAGGCTTATTATTAGCAGTATTTCTAGCTTTTAATACAACATAAGACATAAGGAACTGTGCACATATTGCTAAGGGGGTAGGGGTGGTTTATCATTATGGTATATTGAATTGTGTTAATTTATGGGATGGAGGTTGTAGAGAGTAATTTTATATACTAGTTCTTTTCTTTTTTTAAAAAAAAAAATTGCAAATTTGCACAATCTCTACTTTTCCAATTTACGAAATTAGAAATTAGCCTATAGGCCTATTATTAAAAAGTAAAATTATTAGTGAATGAATGAATGATGTCATTATTAGTCGTTAGCTGATTCAACATGCGGCCTATTCGCCCGGCCATTTTTGAGGCACTACTGTTTACAGGACATCAGCTTAGTTACTTTCTCTTTATTTTCTCTTTACTTTAATACATTTTTTGTCTATTTTTGTCTACATTTTTTTTATCCAATCCATCCAGGAGGGAGGGCAATTGCCCCACCTTGCCCCTACCTGCGGGCACCCATGCCTGTCAGTGACTTGATCACTCAATATCCCTCACCGTATCACTTTCAATTGATGGTAGAGCAAAATCAGAAAACATTGACTGTCCTATGGCCCATGGTGGATTGTAAATAGCTCTCCTGCGAGTCTCTTCTCAAACCGTAATCTTTTCTCTATCGAAAATCCATAATGTTCTAATTTTAAAAATGCCTTTTCAATAGCATGTTTCACCAAGTGACAGTGCTTCTCGTGCAGAAACAATCTTAAGGCTTCTAGGTTGGTCACCACTTTGTCAAGAGTAAAGTAGGTTGACCAAACGTCCCGTAAAAACGGGATTGTCCGAGAGAGGGAAAAAGTCTCTCGGGACGCCTAAATGTCCCGTTTTTTTTAAAAACCAAACACGTTTTCAAATCACTAAAACTTCCTTATTTATAACATAACTTCAAGTAATATTTTGACTAGCTGTGTAGCCAGCGCCAGTAGTGATGTGGGCTCGCGTGATGGCTGCACTGTTCTCCCTCCACCACAGTGTCCCTTGCCACAGATCTTATATGTCAATGTATAGCAAAAGACATGAGACTTGAAGTCGCGGGTGGGGGGTGTAAATGCACAGAAACCAATTTGGATTCCGTTACCGCTATGTGGAATGTGTTAGTCTTATGTGTGATCCCTACCGGCCTGTTAGTCTTATGTGTGATCCCTACCGGCCTGTTAGTCTCAGAGTGACAGGTGTTTGTTTTGGGTGTAGAAGTTTATTCTTTAATTTTATATTATTTTCTCATACCGGGTATAGACAATAATTATGCCCAAGCGCCAATGTAAGTTTATGGAGTATTCCAAAGAGTGGAACTCTATTGAAAAGGGACGCTATGAGAGTGAAGCCGAGTGCACAGTTTGCAATAATGTTTTTAGTCTTGGTCATGGTGGACGTTCAGACATAAAACAACACATCACATCAGTGAAACATAGGAAAGGACTGAGTGCCCCAAATAGATTTCTATGTTGGATTTCATAGTTAAAATAAGCATATTTCAATAAATAGTTTCCGGTGGAGGCCCCCCGGACCCCTCATTAGTTGTAGGGTATCCCCCCCCCCCAAAAAAAAATAATAAAAAAAAATAAAAAAATAAATAAATTAATAAATCGTCCTTGAAAGTGTCCCGTTTTTTTCCAGTTTTGATTTGTCACTCTAGAGCAGAGGTCGGGAAACTATGGCTCGCGAGCCAGATGTGGCTCTATTGATGGCTGCATCTGGCTCGCAGACAAATGTTCGCTTATAAAAAAAAAAGTCGCATTAATGGTAAGAAATGCTCATTATTGATTAGCAACAGCATGGCAATGTTATTAAAAAGAATTCAGAGACATAATTATTGCATTTTTAGTGTTGAAATTACACAAAATGCACACATTTACTTGAATTTTTAGTTTTAAACATAAGGTATGGCTCTTACAGAATTACTTTTCAAAATATGTGGTGTCCATGGCTCTCTCAGACATAAAGGTTCCCGACCCCCAGTGGCATGGGCGTCCGCAGGTAGGGGCCCCCTGGATTGATTGGATAAAATTTTTTTTGACAAAAATAGACAAAAAATGTATTAAAGTAAAGAGAAAATAAAGAGAAAGTAACTAAGCTGATGTCCTGTCCGTTCGTTCACCATACAAATACGCTACAGTAAATTAAAACTACATTAAAACATTA